GCGCCACAAGCACATCGCTGAGGTGTCCCAGTGAGTGTCCCCGTGGGCGGTGTCCCGGCTGGGTGGGACGTTGGCTCGGTCTCGCCACCCACCCCGCTGCGAAGGGTCCCCTGCCCGCTGACACTGTGCCCTCCTCTTCTCCCCAGGGAGGTGACCCGGTCCCTGAAGGAGTTTTCTTCAAGCAAGAGGATGAACACAGGCGATAAGGTGACATGACTGTGCCCGCTGAGCTGGGGACGGCACCTGGGGGGTGGCATATGGCAGTCTCCTGGGGACACCCCATGGGGACCTCTGCAAAGGGCCAGGGGTGCTCAGGTCCCTGATGGGGGCTGATGACAGTGGGGTGCCAGTCCTACACCTGGGGCTGGGGAAACAGGGTGCCACGGGGGGCAGTTTGTCCCCAGCGCGGGGTCTGTGCCCATCCCGCAGCAGCTGCCTCTGTCCCCAGCTGGTTCCCTTCCCAAGACCCCGTGTCAGTGGCAATGAGGGGACACCACTGGAAACAGGATGTAAAACTGACCAGAAGCTGAAAGCACCATCTCAGCCTCACCCAAGTGCAGGGGGTTCCCGGAGGAGTCCTGGGGGATTTCTCCCCTCGACACCCCAGTTTGCAGAGCTGCAGCCCCCCTCCCTGCCATCCACTGCAGTGGGGGAGACCTGGCAATGCCACAGCGGGTGTCACTAAACCCCGGCGAGGGGCTCAGAGGGGACAGGAGTCCTTGGCAGGGCCATCCCCTCCCTGCTCACCGTCTCAGCCCCGAGTCCCCAAGGGTGAGTGACCATGTCCCCTCCCCTCGCAGACCACCATGCGGGACCTGTCGCAGATGCTGAAGAAGATGCCGCAGTACCAGAAGGAGCTCAGCAAGGTACAAGGAGTGGGGAGGGGTCCACGCAGAGCGGCTGGGGGAAAAAACCGGAGGACGTCCCCCGGGGGGGTCCCCAGCCACAGTGGGGGGCTGCGCTAAGGGGGTGGTGGCACGAGGATGTCACAAGGGTGATGGCACCGCTTCTGTCCCCCCAGTACTCGACCCACCTGCACCTGGCGGAGGACTGCATGAAGCACTACCAGGGCACAGTGGACAAGCTCTGCAGAGTTGAGCAGGTACCAGCTCACCCAGCCCCACATCCCCTCCCCACTTCCCCGTGGGGACAACCAGGGCCAGCAGCTCAGCACAGAGCCGTGGGGTGATGAGTGCATGTGTTCTCTGCAGGACTTGGCCATGGGCACTGATGCTGAAGGTGAGAAGATCAAGGACCCCATGAGGGCCATCGTCCCCATCCTGCTGGATGGGAACGTGAGCACCTACGACAAGATCCGCATCATCTTGCTCTACATCTTCCTGAAGAACGGTGAGGGGGAGACCTGGGTGGGGTGGGCTCTGGGGGGCAAACAGCTCATGGTTCGGCCAAGATGAGCCGGATGGAAAAGCTCAGCCCGGTCCCCTCGACCACCACAAAGCCGGGTGTCCTAAGGTGACAACAGAGGGACCGTGTCCCTTCTGGGTGGCATTTCCCAGGAGGACACCATCTCCCTGTTGCATTCCTAGGGATTACCGAGGAGAACCTGAACAAGCTGATCCAGCACGCCCAGATCCCGGCTGAGGACAGCGAGATCATCACCAACATGGCCCACCTCGGGGTGCCCATCATCACAGACGTGAGTGTCCCCTTCCCGCCCCCTGCACCCCTCCTCGCCCCTCGGGAGGACCATGCCCCCCCCCGGGATGTCCCCAGCACCCCTGGGGGGTGGTCCTGGTCCCAGCGCCGCAGCCGCC